ACTGCATTTCTCTCTGTCTCCATTAGAAAAAGAAAGAAAGAAAAAAAAAACTGCAGCTGCTTTGCTTCCCGACAGTCTCCACACACACACACACACACACACACACACACACACACACACACACACACACACACCAGTCACAGACGACAAGACATTTTTAAAAAAAAAAAAAAAAAAAATTGGATTCCTCTTCGTTCCTCTCCAAAACTCAGCAGACACAACTGGAAAACTCGATCTGACAAGTTTTCGGTGACACGTTGGAACAGCAAAAGCGTCGGTTACACACTCAAACCAGCCATGCAAGAAAAATATTTATTCCGACCAGTCAACAAAAAGGAAGGCTTCGATGAGACGGGTGCTCTTTGTCAGTGCAGTGTAGTTATTTGGATCCCATTTTCCCTTCCACTTTTTCTGATCCTGACACTCAGAGCTGCTCGTGTTTCTTCTCTCCAACTCTTGATAAAAAAACAAAAAAACAAACAAACAAACAAACAAAAAAAAAAGCTTTTAACATCTGGAAGACAAAGACATTTTATTCTATTTAACATAGGAGGAACCTTATTTTGAAAAGCCATCATTATTGTTGCCATTGCAGGTGTAAAGTGATGTTTCCAAATGACTCCAACCCCCTAATATTTTGCCTATGGAGCATCCCAACGAGAAAATAATATTCTATCATTATACTTAAATAACAATAATAATGTTTGTGACCATAGTTACCAATTACTTCACATGGAGTCTGTGACTGCTCCTGCTCACTACACTACACCCCCCCCCCCGCCCCCACCTCCTCCTCTTCCTCTCAGTAGCTCATATTCCCTGAGTGAAATTTCCCCTCAGAATGATGTTAAAGCACATTGTTGTTGACACTGCAATTTCACCGACTGCTACAACATTGTCACTTAAAGTGCATATTTGACGTGAAAAGCCCTCCTCGCTGTTTGTGTTTAATATCGCACTGACAGCTGTATCATTCTTGCACACTGTAATCAAATTATGACAGCGTGGTAAATGTTCCCCCGTGACATTTTCTATTATAAAATGCATATACCCGGCGTCAGACAATGTGTGGGTGGTATCCCTAAGTGGCAAATGGGATTGTAAGTGGCACCGACTGACGTTACCTGTGTGTGTGTGTGTGCGTGCGTGTGTGTGCGCTAGCGGTAATTGCACTTTGTGTATTGATGATATGCATAGGTGTGTGTCATCTCATCATGAGTGTTGGAAAACATCACAGACTTTTAGCAACTTTGTGACACATCTATTAGTGTGATATTACAAGCCTAGTTTGAATGTATTATAAATTACTCTCTGACACAAACTGTTTTTAATGTGATTAATGGAGAAAACACACAGGAGAACAAGGAAGTTAGAGCTGGAGAGACACACGCTCGCTCTCTCTTCTTCTTTCCTTATTTCCTTGCTTCCATGCTCTTCTTGTTTTCTCCCTTTTCTTTCCTTGTCTCCTCTCCTCTCCCTGTTTTCTTGCATTTCTTTGCTCCCTCTCCTCTCCTCTCCTCTCCTCTCCTCTCCTCTCCTCTCCTTTCCTTGTCTCCTTTCCTCTCCCTGTTTTCTTGCATTTGTTTCCCCTCCTCTCCTTTCCTCTTTCCTCTCCTTTCCTCGCCTCTCCTTTCCTTTCCTCTCCTCTCCTCTCCTCTCCTCTCCTCTCACCGGCATACCCACCGTCCTCTTATTGGATTGGCTGCTTCATGTTGGCGGCCCTTCACTCACCGCCCCTCGGCCTGCTGGGTAATGATAATAAAATTGAAATATCCCGGTACTTATCAGTGTATTACCTCCCTATCAACACCTCCGACACACTCCTACTTTAGAGGTTACACAGGAGAAAGTGTGATCTGATCTACAGCGCGAACAGAGAGAGAGAGAGAGAGAGCGAGAGAGAGAGAGAGAGGACACCGGGCGAGAAAAGTGAGAAAGACAGAGCGAGGAAGAGGAGGAGGAGAGGGAGTAAACTGATAGACAGAGAGAGGGAGGGGAAACAGACAGACAGAAAAGGAAAGAGTTTTGTCACGGCTACATTTTCAAGGTGCTATTTCCAGGATGGATTGTCATAGGTGGAGAGGAGAGGGTGAAAAGAGGAGGTGGTGGAAGAGGAGGAGGAGGAGGAGGCGTGTAATGTGACTCTGTGGCATCTGTCCAGACCAGAGGCGTGTTAGCGTAAGCCGTTCTCAACACTCCACACTAGCCTACTGTACATTTGCGGTAATGTAAAACATCTCACATCTCCCCATCTCTCTCCCTCTGTCTCTGGGCCCTGTCCCCTCTCCTCTCTCTTGGCAGTTGTTGGTGTGTGTGTGTGTGTGTGTGTGTGTGTGTGTGTGTGTGTGTGTGTGTGTGTGTGTGTGTGTGTGTGTGTGTGTGTGCGTGTGCGTCTTTGTGTGGGAGGTGGAGGAGCGTGCCAAAGCCGAGATCAGGTTTGGAAATTGATTTGAATGAGTGTTGTGGACAGCTGATAGCTATAAAAGATTTTCTCCTTTCATTTCCCAGGGAGTTTCTCCTTTGATGTTGGCTGGTAGTCAACGCAGCTTTGAAGCTCGTCTAGAGCGGGCCAAGGCTGCTACTTGATACTGTGTGAGTTTGTGTTTGTTGTGTGTTTATGAAATGTGTGTGTGTGTGTGCGCACATGACTTCATGTTTGACCTTTTCAAGCCACTTTTATGATAACAAAAGTGAGAATATTGCTTCTTCTCGTAGCATGTAAATTTTATCAGATAGGGGAAAAAAAAAAAATCTGGTAAAATTACCCTTGATAACCTATTTGCATTTCGTCATGTGTGTGATTTTTTTTCTTATCCTAAAAATCCCACAATCACTGATGTACTACAAGCACATCTTTACCTTCCCTAAATCTTAGCATATTGGCTGCTTAACAAGCCCAGCCACCTTCAAATTGCCCTTTGGGGATAAGAATCTCCGAAATGTTATTTTGTCGTTTCATCGGCTGCCTCTCCGCGTTCCTCAGACCGACCAATCGCACGCTCCGATCTAATCCCCAGGAGGGAAGATTCTAGTCTGTTGCTACGGATGCTGGGGGGTCGCGGGGTCAAGTACGGCTAATTTATTCACTCAGTCAGATTTCCTCTGGCTCGTGGATGGCAGATGGAGAGGTCTGATATGATATCACCCAACTGAATCACCCGAGGGAGAAGAAGGGAGGCAGAGACGGCGAAGGGAGGGAGAGATGGAGGGATGAGAGGAGAAGAGATTGACAGGGGAGATGTAAAGAGAAAGGAAGGACAGATAGTAAAATTGGGGGAATTAAAAGTGGTTAGATAGAGAGATAGGGGGAGAGGGTAGCATTGCCTGCAAAGAGTGTGGAGAGTGTTCGCCCCAGCGAGTCGGGTGTCGAGCTGAACATTGAGCCACATAGCCTCTTATCAGATGTGTGGTTGTGGGTGAAGTGTGGATGTGTGTGTGTGTCCTTATCTTAAGACAAGTGGTTCTGGTCCAATAAGATCCTGGGAGATGGTAGGAATAAGCCGCTTAGACCGAGATCTGAGATGGAGGGAGGGAGGGAAGAGAGATAGCGCTAGGAAGATCAGACGAGGAGATGAGGATGGAGAGAAGAGGAGGAGGAGGAGGAGGAGGAGGAGATGGACAGATTAGGAGGGTGGAGGACAAGGAGGGGACATTTGGAAAGAGATGAGACGTGGAGGGTTGTGGAGATCGGAATGGAAAGATGTGATGTGGAAACAGTTTGGAGAAGTTTTTTTTTTTTTTTTTAAGAGAGCAGAAGAGAAAGGGGAGGGGAAAGTGGGAGAAGTTTTGGGGTTTGGAAATAGTTCTTGGCTTTTTGTCAAAGGACAGGGATTTACAGGATTTGATCAACAGTGACACTTTTTCCCAAGAGTTTTTGAATTCGTAGCTTCAACAACAGTGTCGGCCTAAGAACACTGTGTCCCCAAAGGCCTTTGACTTCAAGTCTTGGCTTCCAGCGGCGCCTTTATTAAAAATTTTCCACTCAGCTCCCCCTCCTTTCTGCTACATACAGATCGAGGACAAGACATGTCTCCTCTCTGTGAAAATACCTCTCATTAAAACAGGACGAGGAGGTCGAAGAGAAATGTGAAAGGGATTTGAATTGGTGTTATGAATATTAAAAAGCAAAAGAGCTGATTTTAAGCACTTTTATAGGTTAAACTAAGACTCAGGGCTGTTTAAAATGGCAAAGGCCACAAGGGATCTCTGAAGAGTATTTATCAAAGTGCAGGTGTTGTCTACTAAATATATGATCTGTAATTACATCACATTTCAAGTCTAAATGGGATTAAGTGGAGCGTTCGGTTGAGAGGTTACTTTGCTCTTGTAAGACCTTGTTGATGTAGAACTACCCAAGAATCCTAATCTAAATCATAGAGCTCTGAAACTGAATTGAAATCTAATGCTTGTGCTTTGTATCCCCTCAGTGTGGACACCACGTGAAGATGAGGAACCAGCTTTGATGCCCACCACCACCAGGACCCTTTGGCTTCCACAACACCTCCAACAAACTCTCCAAACGGGAGGCTTTTACCGCTTTGTACCCAGGAGGCAAAACTACATCTTGAAAAATCGTTGTATTTATTAATGAGAACCTGTTTCAAACTGTGAAGTCTGTAAAGGACTGGACAAACCCAGTGGCACTTACCTGGCATGGAATGATCTGAACTGAACTGAGGTCAAGTGAATTTGACTGGAGACAGATCAACTCTCTTTAGTTCCACTGAAGAGAAATGAACTGAAGCTGAACCTGAACCTGAAACCTGAACTTTGGCGGACATTAATTCATTTCTTCAAGAATACGCTTGTTTCCCATAGAAGGGCTCTTTTCTGAGCCCCTTCCTCCAAAAACCAAACTTTTTTATCTAACTCTCCAAACCAGATTCCCTCACCTCCTCAGACCCTTTCCAAGGGTCTTGGAAATTGTCTCCAAACTAACTGGGGAGGAATCATTTCCTCCTCTTCCTCCTAAAATCCTTGCGACCTCCTTCCGTCCAGACATGGACCTCCACAGGGCAGCCTTCAAAATGGAGAGCTCCTCCTACCTCCCCAACCCCCTGGCCTCCCCAGCCCTGATGGTCCTGGCCTCCACCGCCGAGGCGTCTCGCGATGCCTCCATTCCCTGCCAGCAGCCGCGCCCGTTTGGCGTCCCAGTTTCTGTTGAGAAAGACGTCCACTTGCCATTTAACAATGGTTCGTACACTTTTGCATCAATGTACCACCGCCAAGGCGCAGTCCCGCCTGGATTCCCCAACAGGGACTTCCCTCCGTCCCTCCTCCACCTCCATCATCAGTTTGCCCCACCTAACCTGGACTGCTCGCCAATCAGCATGCTGAATCACAGCGGCGTTGGTGCCTTCAGGCCTTTCGCCTCGCCTCCGGAAGATCGGGACGGGGCACCAGGTGGGTATCAGTCTGCTTTCACCCCAGCCAAGCGCCTCAAAGGCTGCCTGGATGCAGAGGCTTCTCCCCACCTGCGGTACTCTGATGCAGAGGGGAAAGAGTATGACTTTGGAGGTTCTCAGATCCCACCCGGAGGCTCACCCAGCAGCGCCCTGAAAGCCGTGGAGGACAGCGGGAAAAAGATCTTTGCCGTGTCGGGCCTCCTGTCTGATCGAGAGACTTCCTCCAGCCCTGAGGACCGCATTGAGCGCTGTAAGTAGCAATTTATTATTATACTACAACCACAAAACTCCAACCACATTGAACTATGCACACAGATGGTGAGACACCAGATTGTCCCTCCGCTAGAGTCTAGACTTGGAAACTCTCTGGCGAGGAGCACTGAAGCTGTTCTCCTTGTCGTAGACCTTAAAACAAATAAGTCAAATTACTGGACCTCATTGCATAATGTGCTCACGCCAACAAATACATTTACACAACCTCTCTTCCAGTGCAAACACAAATCAGCCTCAACATGCTTGTGATATTATGAAAATGAGATGTTATTTTGCATATTTTGGTGAGGTAATATCCCTTGTCCAAATGTCCAATATCTCTGATATAAATTAGACGCACCTAACCCTAACCTCCAATACTTATTTTACATTTTAGCAAAACTGACCCTAACCCTAACAACTTGTACAACCACCATGTTTTAGGACTAATGCACAGGCAGCTCTGATTATTAAACCTGCGAACAAGACACATGCAGCAAGACGCATAAGAACACACGTCAAATCTAATTCTAGCAAATTAAAAACCAAGGTAAAACTAAAAGACTGCACATTTTCACACACTAGCACAACACACGCCGATAAACAATCCCATCTATGTTCTCTTGTCATCATCTCTCCTGGCTCCCCCTATCCTTGTTTCACAAGTCCACAAGCTCCGCCGGTCACATTAACATTCACCAGTTGAAGGATGCCATTTGGCCCTCACGCACTAGGAATCTGATTAGTATTTGTGTGTGTGTGTGTGTGTGTGTGTATGAATGACTGGTTCAGAGACCGGCCATGCTCTTTGCCATCAGCATTCATCATAGCTCTACGCTGGCAGCCCCGTTGCCAAAAGATTTACCCACATACCCAAAGCCTTGGCAGACTGTGTGTGTGTGTGTGTGTGTGTGTGTGTGTGTGTGTGTGTGTGTGTGTGTGTGTGTGTGTGTGTATTAAAAGGGAGGTGGGAGAGGAGTTGTAAGAGCTCCAACACACAAACACACAAGCCTGCACAAACACTCTTCCAGACACACAAACAGCTCTCAGCATGAGCACCGACATCTCCTACACATGTCAACAAGCTGCATCGGATCTCGGTGACAAATTAGGAAACACAGACATAGAGACGTGCTCATGCTGTCTTTCTCTTCCTGTATTTTTATAACGATTGACTCTCTCCTCTTTTAAGTTTATCATATCCCTCCTTTTTTTTTTTTTGTCTTTACTTCACTCTTCCTTCTTTCCATCCTCCTCCATCTTTCAGCTTGTGTGTGTGTGTGAGAGAGAGAGAGTGTGTGTGTGTGTGTGTGTGTGTGTGTTTGAGGGATGCATCCTTGATGGAACATATGAGAGACAGAGGCGACGACCTGAGACTGATCCGATAAAAAGACCACCGCAGGAGAGACAGAGAGGGTGAGAAAGAGAAGGATGAAATTGGGAAAATGACACCCGGCGGCTGGCTGTGGGGGAATAAGAAAAGAGGAGAGAGATATCAAAGAGCACATAAAGTGAGAGAGGAGATGAGACAAGAACAAAGAGACGAGAGAAAGAAAGATGGAATAACGAGATTTTAGAGAAATTAGACTGATGATTTTACTCAAAATCCAGATCTGTCTCATGTGCGTTTTCACTTCTTGTGTTTGCTGCAGCTCAGATATTGGTAAAGTACCTCGTGGTAGCGCGAGTGTTGAGTATGTCAGTGCCATATGTGCCACCTTATCACTGCACATTCATGAGCACTAAGACTGAAGCCAGAAATAGAAAGGGAGATGGGTGCAGGGCTCCTGTGCTGTCTTTTGGAACGGCTGAATCTGTATCTAATCAGGTTAAATCTTGGCACAAGTAGCCTCCACCTCCACCATAGGCTTCTAATGCAATTGGATGTGCAGAGGCACTGCTTACAGAAAAGAATTATGGGTTCTCCTTCACTGGGTTTGGCTGTCCAGTGGAGGCGTAAAGAACAAACAACACTTTGGTACAATCCCATGAGGACACAGTGCTCTCGCTGCTTCACACACACATTAGCTAACTAGCAAGCCTCCGTGTGCTGCTTCACACTTTACAGTAGCAGCGTCTCCACAGCCCCGCAGTGAAAAGAGGTTTATAATGCTCGGGATCACACAGTGTCATCACAGATTCTTTTATAGAAACGTAAACAAACAAACAAACAAACAAATAATTACAACTTGTAGATTAAATCTCAAAGGTTTTCCAGAACCTCTCCCACTACAGGCTACACGGCTTTAGGGTGCGTTCAGAGCAGCATGACAGTGTAGATTTTAGTGTGAACTTTGAACCACTTGTGTGTCAGTAAATATGTATCTTATCTGTGTTGATATTATTTTACATGGACACGATCTTCCACTGTCATTAAAACGCTGATAACGCCTCACTAAAATAATTACACACGACTGATGATCATTTAGATTTCAGAGCAGGACAGGAGACGCATCCTTTGGCTTCTTCCTTATTTCGTGAACATCTCAACAATCCCAGTCGTGTGGAAGAGTGTTTGATCGTCGGTCGCTGTTGTAACAATTCTGTTCAGTCGCCTCCGATCTCTTGTGGAGTTTTGACAAACTAATTTTTCTGCTCTCAACAGCATTTAATGGTCTTTATGAGTGAGTGAACTCTATTTTGAGCGACTGAGGCATTAACGGCTAGATTTCATCTTCTTCTTACTTTTTTCCGATCACATCCTGATCACGTGAATATTGATACCGTGTGCGGATACAGTATCTCTGTGTTTCAGCTCCCCATGGACTGCACACGGTCACGATGACCATCTAAAGACTTGCAAAATCTGATTTGGCGAGTCAGTTGAATCCACTGCGTCTTCTAAATATATACATTTATAAATCACAGTTTCATCACTGTGGACACAAACCAATGCAAATGGATCTGTGTAATGCTAATTTTATCATCTAATCCCCATTCAGTTGATTGATCGATCCAATTATTGATTGATTGATTGACTTTATTGTGCACCTCAGTGGAAATTTGTCTTTGGCTTCTCCCAAAGTAAGGGGAAAAAAACCTCATACAATCAGTATAACACAACAACAACAACAACAACATTAAAGACTAACAACGTAGCCGCCAGTAGTGTGAATGAGCAGCTAGCAGCAGACGGTTAAATTAATACCAGAGAGCAAATCTAGATAAAATGACAACACAAGTGTCGTTCTGCACGGCGTAGGGAATAAAAGACGTATATTGCTGAATTTGTTCATAGTTAAAAAACAAAGTACAATGTAAACTTCACAGCAGATGAATTGAAGTGACCAGATCTTAAATGTGATGCAGATCCTCAACACTTACTGCTTTTACATCCGTCTTGCATTCATCCGTTATCTGATCACAATCCAATCACCTGTCACACAGGTTAATCCCACGTGTGAAGGTGATCCTTGCGTCTTTGCTTGAAAAAAAAAAAAAAAAGGATATTAAACAACTTGAAAAACCCTACAACCCTAACTTCCCTGCACGGCGCTCTGTGGAGCTCACCGCGTGCCTCTCCAGGCAACAGTGGCCTACTCTGCGCTAAGCCCTCCCAAATCCCCGCACCGCGCCGGCAGGCACGTCGGCTGTTAACTAAACCCGCTAACCTGTCAGCCGCTAAACCTGAGCATAAAGGCCCCATCATGCCTTAAGAGGACTATGCATGTCATATTATTGTAAAAGCTATTACCGTTTACAGTATTCACACTGTGAGGTTTTAGCAGGAGAGTGAAGGGATACAAAAGGGTATTTTATTTTTTTTTACAGTAAAAGAGAGAATGGAATTATGGGATGTGTGATTGGAATTAATGGGAATGTTGACAAGTGAAACAATCCGCCCCTCGTCGTGCACTTTTTGTTTGTTTGCAGAGGGGATTTGATGTTTTTGTGCGACGTGTCGATGTGGAGGTTTGTGTGCGTGTGTGTGTGTGTGTGTGTGTGCCATCTCTCCATCATTTTTCCATCCCTCCCTCCTTTGCACCCCCCCCCAGCTCCTCTTCATGTGTGTGTATGTGCATCTCCCCATATGAGAGTGTGACAGCTGTAGTCTGTGTACATTCTGTAGTAAGTTTGTTTACATTCTCTGTGCTCTCCACATTTACAAGGCTGAGAGATTTACACTGAACCTGACCCTGAATACCTAACCCAGCTTCTTTCTTTCTTTCTTTCTTTCTTTCTTTCTTTCTTTCTTTCTTTCTTTTTCATTTTTACAATCACAATTACAGTAAATGCAAAAAAAAAAAAAAAATAGGGAAAAAAGTAATTTAGAAGACAAATGTACAATTGAAAGAAAGAAGCAGGAACCTTTGGCAGCGAAAGAAAGAAAACACAAATTCTTTAAGCTCGGAGCGAGGGGAAGGAACGTATGAGGAAGGGGGGGTGAGATAAAAGAAAGGATAAAAGCAATAAGGAAAAAAAAAGCGATGTGGGAAGGAAAGAGGGAGGACGGTGAGATGTTGAGCTGAAATGCAGATCCCATCTGCCTGACTGAAATAAAAAGCAGAGGAATTCTTCAGACAGGTAGATGGTAATAATATCCACAGTGACCGGCCGTGCTGCAGGAGGGGGTTTCAGTTAAATAACACTGATGCACAGACACAACGTGCCTCCTTTGACTGCAACTTATTCCCATCAACGTATAACAGTTTTAATGTTTAACCGAGTGCATCAGCCACAGCTGTTAAAACACACAGCGAGAGGCCTCCTCCGCTTTTCTTCTGTTCTTTTTTTGGTGTTGCCTCCTTTCTTTGTTTATCTTTATCTTTTTTTTTTTTTCCTCCCCTGTGCACCGAGCAAATGTCATGTGTGTTGTTTCTCTCAGGGTCTCAGAGTAGCAACAAACTGTGGAACGCTAAAGAGAAAGAGAAATAAATGAAAGTCGCAGCAGAGAAAATAAACTGGGGAGGAAAAAATAGAGTTCTCACAAAGGGAAAGATGGATGAGACTGATTCTGATGTTGATGGATGACGAGGGGGATTTTTGTTTTGGAGTTTC